TTTTCCCCCCCCCCCCCCCCCATTTTTTAGTTATACTTTTTGTAAAGAACATTTGAAATAATACTCATATCTGTATGTATTTAAATACAATTTTAAAAGTGAAGTAATTTATATATTAAAATACAGCTTCAAACTAGATTTAAAATTTTCATAGCTAAATATTAATTTTTGATTAAAGTGAATTTATTCGTATATATTTTATTTTTTAATTACAAGGTATTTTCACCATTTTTAAAGCAAAGTCATATCGACTAAAGTTACATGAAAAAATAAATCATAAATCACTCTTAAAAATATTTGATTAAAGTAACTTCTATTTTTGTTTATTATATCATATAATATGTCTATTACAAATATGAAAAGGGCCTTAAAATACCCCTTAACTATATGAATCGGTACAAAACATCCTTCGTCTACCTATTAGACTTTAAAATATCCCTAACGTCCACCTTTTAGCCTAAATTTACCCTTATTTTTTGCAACATAAATATCAACCCCAATTACCAGGAACATCCTATTGAATTCGACAAAGAGCAATTCTATTATAGCAGAGAATCATTGTAGGAGATGTTTACAAAAAGTTTAAAGACCTAGAGCTATAACACGTGCGTATTATTATTTTTTCAATTATAATTTCAAAGTATAATTAAGATATCTGTCGAATTGTTGAATCACAGAATTAATAATATGATTATGATTTTTAAAGCCGTATAATAACATATACAAATTTACCTCAAACGACATCATTGAGAGGGGATATAGTAGACACTCTGAATGCATTTAAATATCAAATTTATGCCATGAGATTTCTTATTTTAATTTTCGCATTTTCTATTATGTTGTGTTGAATGCATGTCAAATGGCTTGTGCAGGACGTCTCAGGATCTTATATGTCATGTCACATATATTAGGGTGTACTTTGAATCGTGACATTACCCAAATTTCGACTCCTTTCGCCTACAAAGAATGAAACATCATTCATAAGCTTACAATCATGTATTAGAGAGAAAACAACGAATATTAAATAAGAAATTACTCAAAATAATGATCAAATGTGGATGAAATACGACTAAAAAGAGTGTACATTCACCCTTAGTATTCAACTTCAATTTTGGAATATGTCTTGAAATAATCTCCATTGACTAATCCCAAATTTTGTTTTGCTTCAAGATCATTGATAGTTGCTTTTATCTGAATATCATAATTGTCACTTGTTAAAGTAAATTTGGTGATTGACATACACAAATCATCTGTGGAATTCAAATAGTAGATTAACTATGAGGCAAAGACTTGGACAATAAAATTTGCCTCTTAATAGTGAGTTTTGTGTGAAAAAATAGATAGAAGTATTGAAAAAATGTTCCTATTCTAGAGTAGCGTCACAATATATAAAAAGTTATATACAATTAGCTAGTTTCCTAGATTCTACTTTCTAGGATACATAATATATGTGAATATCACCTATTAAATATAATTTTCATACAAGCACTTCCATTAACCATAAACTATCATTTTTCTCTTAAACGTCTCACTTAATGAATACTCTACTTATCGAAACAATAAGAGTATATTTAAACAAAATAAAGTAATAAATGACTTCTTATTTTTTAATTTGAAACAAATCCAATTTGTCAAATGAACTAATATTTGGCAATGTAGAAAGTATTATCTTTCATGCAAGTCATTCACTTGTAAAAAAATAGATAGAAGTATTGAAAACACTCCTAAGCTCAGCACAAATTATTACTTTCATCTTCAAATTATTGACAGTCTTAAGAACACTCTTTTCGTTGACTAACTGAATTTAAATAGACATTCAATCCTGCAACATAAATGAAATACACCCCTAAATTTTCATCAAGCTTAAGAATATTTTCAACACTTTTCTCAATTTTTTATTAAGAACCTCATACTCCTATGACCGTTTGAGACCACTTGTTATGACATAACTATCAAAACAACACTATGATCCAAGAGTGAAGAAAGAAAGAAGAGTCCGGAACCTATTTGAGCCACACAAAGATAAAATTGACCAAAATAAGCCACAATTCTAAAAAATAACTAAAATAGGCTTAGTGTAGTTTTTTCTTCCGTTTTATTCAAAAATATAAACGGCAGACGTTTGTTTATTAACGTCTATATTTTAACATAAAACGAAATATATATTTTTTCACTTTATAAAGTGTAACTTTTTCTTACACTTTATATAGTGTAAGTTTTTCTTACATTTTATAAGAAAAGTTAACTTTATAAAAAAAAATCACTTTCATTTTCTCAAATCAATTTCTTAACTCTTCACAATCCGACAAACCAACAATCTGACCCCACCCACAACAAAAATTGAATTCTCGAAAGATTGGAGATACGGAGCCAGTGGTGGAGCCAGAATTTCGCCTAAGGGGTATCAAAATATAAAGAAATAAAATTGTGTAGAAGTTAAGGAGTGTCAATATGTAACATATATATATATATATATATATACATAACAAAAATATTTCTATTCTAGCTACACAATGTAATTTTCCGACGAAGGGGTGTCGGTCGACACCTCTTAATTACATGTGGCTCCTCCACTGTACGTAGCACAACTCGATAACCCAACAATTCGACCTTACAATTTTTTAAAAGTAATTATTCCTTTTCATCTTAGATTCATTGATCCATGATTAATATATAAACTAGTGAAATATTTGAAATTATGTTTTTGTTCTAATTTATTTAAAATTTCATTTATATATAGTTAAAATCAGAAGCATGATTTTTGGAGATACGTAGCATAACCCGACAACCCAACAATTCGACCTTACAATTTTTTTAAAGCATTTATTTCTTTTCATCTTATATTCACTGATCCATGATTAATATATAAATTAGTGAAAGATTTGAAATGATGTTGTTGTTCTAATTTATTTAAAATTTCATTTATATATTAGAATAAGTGCTAATATTTTGTGAAGTAGTAATCTAGACTTGAGGAGAAAAGACAAAATAAATTAATAAAATCTGCAATATTGAGTGTAAAAAAAATCTACACTTTATATAAAGTAAAAGAAAATCTTTCACTTTAAAAAATGTAAGAAAAAATTACACTTTATAAATTTGAAAAAAGTTCTGTTTTATGTTAAAATATAGACATTAACAGACTAACGTCTGCCGTTTATATTTATGGGTAA